CAGGCACGTACCTTGACAAAATGCTTTTGCCTGATGTAATATTTACTGACAAGAATTTCTATCAAATCAAAACAATTGGTTGTCAACAGTTTCACTGACGTGCTGATGGTTACATTCAGCTTCAGCAGCTAAMACTGTTAAGTTGTCCTCACCCTGAACAATATGGCTGCTCTTTCTGACCAAGAAACAGATCACGATAGCGTCCCTATTTAATACACCTCATAGCCCAAATCATCCTCATATGAGTGGTTCCAGAGATGTGGTTTGATTAAATTTAGTATTCAGGAGGACTCCCTGGAAAATCGTTGTGAATCCAATTTTTATTGTATTCTAATGAGGATTTCTTCATGCCATTAGGAAATGGAAACCTCAAGCCAAATTTGGATATCAGGATTTCCCAGCTGGTATTGAAAATAGCTTCACTAGCGCACAGGGAACGTGGCAAAGATGTATGGTTTTCTGCTCAGAAAAATGCTTTAAGATTATATATTAAACTTCGTCTACAAGGGACCAATAAACAAGGTGTATGGTAATCATTAAATAAAGAAGAAAAAATCCAATTATCACTATATCTCACTGTCCCACTTCTTGACTAAATCCATTGTTCGATGTTACGCGTCAAATATGTGATTTTTTTCTAATTCACAGAAAAATATGAACTTACTAACGCTGAAAATCTTAGGCCTTGTTCACATGGAAACACTTTTTTAAACTGATTTTTCATCTCCTGTAAACAGCAGCATTTCTAAAAACATTTTAATCCACACGACAAGACTGGAAAACAACCAAAGACCCTGTAGTAACTGTCCTATGCCTTTATGTGGCGCTGTAACGCTGCCACAAAAACAAGCCCAAAACAGGAAACAAGACGTGGAGCACGTAAGGCTTACAGAAAAAGTGAGAAACAATAAGTGGAGACCCTCGAGTCGTGGATTAGAGGTTTGACAATGACATTTTTCTAATGTTTTTTTTAAGTGGTCTACACAAAAATGAAAGGATGGTGTTTCAAGATTTCCTCTCTTCACTTATTCTATAAAATACAGTTTTGGGGATTTTAAGTCTGTTTCCACAAGGGCAAAATGCAAAAACAACTAATAGTGTGCTGCTATGTCATAGTTTCTCAAAAACTCCGAAGTTTGTTTGGACACACCAAAAGCAGAGTTTGATAYAAATTTCCAATTGGGAAAGACTTTTTAAAAATCTATTTTCTCAGCAAAAACTCTGTTTCCATGTGAAGGAAAGGCACAAAGGCTACAGAAAATGATGTAATACTATCTGGAGTAATGTACACACTGCCTGAAGTCATATAGGCGTTAGTGACTAGATAGTTAATCACCATGACAGCACTTAAAAAAACACCTCACTCAATTATATTTTGCATTAGTTAGCATTGGATTAAAACTTCAAAATTTTTGTCAGTTTTAGTAGCAAGTTTGACTTTCTTTTTACTTTGATTAGTTTGAATTAGAGTGAAACACTGCCCACGTTCTGAGACAGATTTATTGTTGGCCTGAGTGTTCAATGCATAAGTGATCAAATGAAGAAGAAGCAGAGGGCATGCATGAGTCAGAGTGAAAACCACACAGAGAGTAAAATACAAACAACTAAAAAGTATGTGAAGAAACACTTCCACCCCTGGTCTGATCCACTTCTTTGAAGAATCCAAAGACATTTTTTTTAAGTTAAACAAAAAGTTTGAGACGACTTGTCTTTGGATTGGTAACCTAAACCTCTCGAAAAAGACCAGAAAGAGGCAGAAATCAGCATCATAGCTAAGGGGGAAGTTGTGTGTGTGTGTGTGTGTGTGTGTGTGTGTGTGTGTGTGTGTGTGTGTGT